TGTTTTATGTTTTTAGGAAAAATAAGTTTAAGAACTTATTTCAAAATAGCAATACTCTATATACATATATAATGTATAATAATTGAAATGTGTCTGTACTTACAAAATACTAGTAAAAGTTACTTTGTACAGACCATAGATCACCGTTATGTTATTTGATAAGGTAACATAAGTGCATGTGAGCCACGTCATTGTAACTTCAGTATTTTTATCCAGGCATGGGTGAAAGGTCAATGAAATAAAAATAATAAATATATATATAAATGTATAATGTTATGAGATTTAAGCTATTTCACCTAAACATTTGTTTTCATGTTATAATTTGTGTTCATTCTAGAATGAACGATGCATAATTTTGTTTTTTTTTCATTTTTTCTGGTGGTTATGAGATTGGTCAAATTTACCGAACCTGTACAGAGATTAATTACTGAAAATAACAGATAAAATATAAAGTTTTTTCTTAAGAAATGTTTAATAACTATCTGGACATTATAAAGATTTCGCATGTGAAATTTCAAAATTTTCTGATGCATAAAAGTATTTTTAATTTTAAAATGAAAATTACTTTGCATGATAGATAGGCAAGATGTGAAAAGGAAAAAAAGGCATGAGAAAAATATTGCTTTACAAACCTTAAGACTTAATGAAAAAAATTAGATATTTTGCATATGAAAGCATTGTAATGTTTACTGATAAACTGCCAAATTTTGTTAACATTCGCTTACTAATTTAAAAGTTATAGCATGAAAACTATAACAAGCACAAAATGGTTAAGAGGTCGGTCCCAGGGACCGAGCCTGGGTTGTAAGAGTTAAATTAACAGTTTCTTGTCATCACCCCTAAGCAATTGGTACAACTGTATCAAGCATCATTATTTATGCTAATTGTGTAAGCTAATATCATGTGCTGCTAAACACTCTTTAATTAGGATAATTTCATAAAATTTAATAAACTTGTGCTGAAAAGGGGGCAATGAACTGGTTATTAACCATCTACCTGTATGATTCTTTTGAAAACTTAAGCTAGAAACTGCTAATCTAGTTTGCTTGGCATAACTAATACTTATGTATCTGCATGTCCTTTCATCTTATAGTTTTGCTGCTCTAAATCAGTAATCTTTAATCTGAATGACAAAAAAGGTCCACTTTTACTGTTGGGTGAAACTGTAGTATAAATGTTAGACCGATAGCTCATATGACTTTTTGCATATGTGTGCACAAAAATGTTCTTTAAATTTGAGTGGTTTTTGTTGAATAACTTTGCACATGTGGCTTATATTTACACCAAATGAGACTCCTAATTGTAGGTTGTAAAGATCTATCAGTGTTCTAAATTTGAAAAAAGTCATAAAAGTTAAGTATGTTTTTCTATCAAATATAGTTTCCATACTTTTGGTGCGAAGAAAAAAAAAAAGAGGAAGAAACTCAATCAAAATTGGAGATGTTATATCTCAGGTATTTCTTAATGGATTGCCTTCAAGAAAGAACTATCACTCCTGTTAATACCACACAGTGTATCCTGCAGATTGTTTTTTGGTTGCAAGACACACTACTTCTTATCTAGAAAATGAGAATACTACAATTACATCTTCAACTGTGAAGATGAAAAGAACAGAACACAAAAGTTAATTTCTGAATATAAGGTGGACTAACACCTGATAATCATAAGCACCAAGTCTGAAATTAAAAATTAACCAAAAGTCATTAACATTGTAAGTTCACCTTGTAAGTTGTAGTCAATAAAAAAGGACGGGTGAGGAATAAATAAATTTATTAGCAGCACAGTACCAGTCTCTGAAAAAAAATGTAAAAGAACTCTTAACACCTTATTTACATTATAATAAAACATGTTCATACCTCCTGTGTATAAGGTCCCAGAGAAAACTTCAGCAACTTACAGATCTCCCCTAAGTTGGATAAACAGGATGTTCTCAACTGATAATCTGGATTGCGAACTCCAACCAGGAACATGGGGAGGAGGAGATCTCGATATTTGGGAGCAACAGTTCCTGAGAGGAAACATGTACCATGACTAATGAGTAGGTTTTTGGAGTTAGAGACACAAGGCAATACAGAGAATATGACAGACAACTGTATTGTGTAGATACTGGTGAAACAAAGCAACATGAAAAGAGTTTGTAAATAAAAGTGATATGAAGAAATAACAGTCTGATATTTATCACAATGACTTAGTGCTATCTATGTAAAGTATATATATATATGTATACACATATACATACATACATAAGTTACAGTATAATAACTAGCTAAGTGTTTTCTTTTATGCATGAAAGGAATCTTCTAGACCTTGTTAGTGGAAGATTCCTAGTGACACCATGTCCAGCAGTATCGTTGTTCAAGAGCACAGGTCTTCCCACAACCACAGATGTTAGAAGTGGATTTACCTTCGTCTACTTTGGTGTTTCCAAAACAGATTTTGTGTACTTGCTGCATTTCTTTTGATAAACCTGGATGTGTTGAAGTGAAGACTGGTTTAGATACTTTACTTGATAACAGAGAATTTAGTTCAGCTGTCATGTAAGAGCCATCAAAATTCACACTTGGAGCAACTCTGTTTGACAAATGAATGGCTGATATAGGAATTTGATTGTTGACTTGAGGTAAAAAGCATTTTCTTGTGAAAATTTATCACAAGCTAACAAAGAATTAAGAAGTTTTGCTGAATGTCCACCAGAAGAAAGACTAGAAGTAACATTTGACTCATTTACTCCTAGTCATTGACTTCTAGATCCACAGAACAAACCCATGGTCTCTAGATTCAATGCACAGACTCCCCTCATAAATACCATTTTCATGTTATTCAAGCAACATCTTTTCTCTTTCGTCAGGGCAATAATTGTTTGATGAGTGCTAAATGGTTTTGTTGTAGGTTAACAACATAATGTTTATGGTGTTTACTAAGAAGAGTATGTTGTTCTTCAATTCTTTTCTAACACTCTTTTTCTATTATTTCTTTTCAGCTTGTTTCAAGCACTCTGCACCATGCTTGATATGCTTTCTGTCTATGTCTTTTCTCTCTGCATTTCTATAATAATCTAGATACAAACTTCTTTTACTTTCTGTCATTACACTGAATTTTCCATAGATAAAATGCACGCAGCAGTTTCAGTTTTTGTTGTTGCTTAGTGACTGACTTTGTGAGATTCTTTATAATATTTTTTTTTCCTTTGGAGAGAATCTTTGAAGAAGAAATTAAATTGTTTCATTTCCTCCAAGTCCTGTGATACGTTGGTACCAAACTTCTGTTGCAGATCTTTTTCTTTCTTCTTCCAAATGTTGCTGAAGCTCTTTCTGCAAATGTATCTCTATGTTAATGACTTCAGACAAAATATATTTCTTGAGATGTCCACACCAATGATAAATTTAGTTGCATTCTTTCGAAATCAGAACCTTCAGAGCACTGGTTCAAATTTACATATTTTTCTCCTAAAAATTTACTACATTTATCTTGATTTTCTGGCAACTCAGACAGAAAACTCGGATGGTGTAGAGTTGGGAAAGATAAAGTTTTTCTGTTCACATATCTTTTCCTTATTGTAATTTGCTGGTACTGACAAAGTCTCTGGAGAATGAATGGTTGAATAAGCATAAAAATTATATAAAAGTTTTCATTTTTTGTCCTTCCAATAAATTTAAGCCTACACAAAATATTTTAAATTGTCATACGTGTTGTTCCAACTGTAAATTTGGATACTTCTTACATAACAACTGAATATGTTTTGGTCAAGGAATCTGCTACAAAAATTTAAAATATAATTCTTCACCAATTATTAGAATTTAAAGGGTTTTAGTTATATTTCTTAATAGTATAAATATATACAATGTTGTTGTTGGGCTTAGGATTCTTCTACAGTAGGTGTCTGTGACTTGTTAACAATAAATTCAGTGATGGATAAAAAGCACACACTTCACCTGTTTTCAAAATAATATGTTTATTCAAAACAAGTTAATGTATGTACAATAAGTTCTTCAACACTATAGATATTATGGGCATATCATAAATACTTTTACGTATCTGCATGTTTGTTAATTTCCCATTGAAATTCTTTCCGAGGAACTTCAGTGATACAAGTCCTTTCTTGATTAAAACTAGTTTATT